TCTCTTACAGGTTCATTGTATATTGTTTTAGACCTTTTTCTATGCTTTTATGTAACTGTATACATACTGATAGAAAATATATGGTATCATTTTGTATATGAGTGTAATTTTTTATATAAATCTTATCACACTGCACACATTCATCATTCTGCAATTCATCAATTTCTCCAGCTACCTATATAATTATTTCCATAATGTGGTATATTACTCCATTGAATGATTATACTAAAGATTATATCGCTTTTCCCCAATTGATGAACTTTCAGGTTGTTTCCAGTTTTTTGCTACTATAAACAATGCCTCCTAACACATGCTAATGTTATTGCAGATATTAAGAAGTGGAATTGCTGGCAAGAATTGGCTTTACCACGTCTTCTACTCATACCTGCAGTGTATGAAAATATCTATTTTTATACCTTTTTACCAACATTTGCTAAACTTTCCAATTTTTTACAATCTGATCGCTGAAAAATGGCATCATGTCATCTTGTTTTAATTTGCATTTCCTTCATAACTACTGAGGTTGAACATCTTTACTTGGATGTATTGGCCATTTGTATTTATTCTATGAATTTCCTGTTCATATTTTTGCAAAGTCTCTGTCAGGTTCTATGTCTTTTTCTTATTGAGAAAAAGAAGCTCTTTATGTAATATGGATACTACTCCTTTTTCTGAGATAGATAGATATATATATATATATATTTCTGCAGCAGATACTGTGGTGAACCACCCACATTCTCCCCTTCAGAAATAGAACTCATTCTCCCTGCTGCTGTAAGTGTAGGTAGCTGAGAACTCTCAACTGAGTCTCTCCAGAACCTGCTCTTACCAAAAACAGCCACCCCTCCCAGGTCACTTCCCCACCCTGGGAGCAGCCTACATCCAAAGACTGGTCAATGTGGGGGTATAAAGGTCAATCCCTTTCTTTAATCCGGGACAACTCAGCTCCAGACCTCCCTGTGGGATCAGGATCCTCTGAGCTTCTGTTGTGACTGCATCACAGTTCAACTTTTCCTTCTGGCCAATTCTGCTTCCTTCACTCCCCCATAGATATTGATCCCTAGAGTATTCTCAGTGGACTTCCTGCATGCAAATATCCACCTCAAAATCTCTTTGTCAGGTTACCTAGTCTAAAACCATTACGAATACTTTCACCCAATATCACTTGACTTTTAATTTTATTTTTGGTGTGTTTTTTAGATGTATCCCTCTTTTTCTGTATATTTTTTCCCTTTCAGGTCTTAAGAAGGCCATCTCTCTTCCAAGGTCTTGAAGATATTCTCCTATATTTTCCTCTAATACATCATGATAAACATAGAAAAGACTGAAGTTGTCAAGGATTTCATTCTACTCAGATCCACAATCAACACCCATGGAAGTAAGAAATCAATCAAAAGATGCATTGAATTGGGCAAATCTGCTGCAAAAGACCTCTTGAAAGTGTTGAAAAGCAAAGATGTCACCTTGAAGACTAAGGTGCGCCTGACCCAAGCCATGGTGTTTTCAATCATGGTGTTTTCAATATGCATGTGAAACCTGGATAATGAATAAGGAAGACCAAAGTAGAATGGACATCTTTGAATTGTGGTGTTGGTGAAGAATATTGAATATACCATGGACTTCCAAAAGAACAAACAAATCTATCTTGAAAGAAGTACAACCAGAATGCTCCTTAGAAACAAGAATGATGAGACAAGGTCTCACAAACTTTGGACGTGTTATCAGGAGGGATCAGTCCCTAGAGAAGGACATCATGCTTGGTAAAGTAGAGGGTCAGCAAAAAAAAGGAAGACCCTCAACAAGATGAATTGACACAGTGGCTGCAACAATGGACTCAAGCATAACAATGATTGTGAGGATGGCGCAGGACTAGGCAGTGTTTTGTTCTGTTGTACATAGGATCGCTGTGAGTCAGAACTGACTTGATGGCACCTAACAACAACAATACTTTTATTTTATTTTTTACTTTTTAATCCATTTAGTACTTTTTATGAATTGTATGAGGTAGGAAATCTAACTTTATGTTTTCATTTGGATAGCTATTTGTCCAATATCATTTATTGAACAGTCCATTTTTTCCTCACTGATTGAAATGCTCTACAGCTGTCACGTTCTTACATGACTCTTCCTCCTTTAGCACAGCTGAATGCTTCACAGTGGGCATCTGACCCAAGCCAAACCTGGAATTTTTTAAAAATATTAAAAACAGGAAAGAGGTGTGGTGGTTCTTCAATGGTAAAAACTGTGGGGATGTGAAGTTTGGGAGTTTTCAACAGTCAAGTTTCTTGCCGTTTATTCTGAAGTGACAGAGAAAAAAGTTCACGTGTTGTTGTTAGTTGCTGTTGAGTCGGCTCTGACTCATAGCAATCTTATGTATAACAGGACAAAATGTTGCCCAGTCCTGTGCCATCTTCATGATCATTGATATGAAGATATGTTTGAGTCTGTTGTTTCAGCTACTGTGTTAATCCATCTCACCGAGAGCCTCCCTTGCCTTTGCCAATCCTCTATTTTACCATCCATGATGTCCTTTACTAGGTCTTGGTCTTTCCTGATGACATGTCCAAAATTAAGGAAGCCAAAATTTCACCATCCTCACTTCTAAGGAGCATTCTGGTATTTTTCCTGAGACTGATGTGTTCATTTTTCTAGCAGTCCACAGTATATTCAATATTCTTAGCCAACACAACTTGAACGCATCAATTCTTCTGTCTTCCTTTTTCATTGTCCCACTTCCGCATGCATATGAGGCAATTGAAAAGACTAGTGTGGGTCAGGCACACCTTAGTAATCAAAGTGAAAACTTTTGAAAACTTCAAAGGGGTCTTTGTGGCAGATTTTCTCAATGCAATATGTTGTTTGATTTCTTGACTGCTGCTTCCATGGACGTTGATTGTTGATCAAAGTAGAATGAAATCATTGACAACTTCAATTGCTTCTTCATTTATTGTTTAGAGAAAGGCAAATATGAGAGGAAAAGAGAAAGGATTCTGGTAGTATTTGAGCCCCCAATTCTGGTTATTTCTGAGATATATTTCTGGCTTTCCCACATTTCAGTTTCAAGCCTTCCTCGAGTTTATGAGCCAAACGTACCAATTTTTGGCCTAAGTTTGTCAAGGTCAGTGTCTATCTTGCAATGAAATGAGCCTAATACACATGGTAGCTCCTTCAGGCCCTGGAGGCAGGCAACATATACAGATTTGACTTAGATAAGGGCCAGTGCCAGCCAAGGTAATCTGTGGCAGCTAGTCATCATTTAGGTAGTCTGTGCTCTGGAACTTGTTTGCTTCTCGACTTTGCAGATCATCTCTTTGATTTCCTTTTATTCCCATTTTATTATTAAGAAATTCAAGCCAGTCTTAGGTAAGCCAAAGGGAAAAAGGATTTCCCATCCCTTGGCTAGGCTAGCTAAGGTTCTCAGAGCATAAGGGAAGCCAGGAATAGTGAAGGCAGTGAGAGTAGGACAGTTAGAGAAGCACCAAGGAGAGGAGAAGTCAAGGATGACTGTAATCCTGAGCCCTGACATGCAGGATCTTGTCTCCTGTGTCCTAAGGAGAACCCTGCCAGGCAGGAAGCCATATTTGTAGCACAAGTAGACTGGCAGAAAATGGCCTGTGTGGTCACAGGAGAATCTGGGGAACACAGATGAGAAGGTTGAACAGTGACTCAGATACTCAATTCCCTACATTGTTTGAGCTGTGTCAAGGCCTTTCCCTTGCTTGGTTATTAACTTGGGACAAGTCTCTTCTGGAAACACAACAAGAGGCCAAGGCTGGCACTTGTTCCTTGCCCGGGCAATGCAGACTAGACAATACTTTTGGCATTGAGCAGGAAGCTGTAGAGAGGCAAGATGTAGCCTGAGCGCGAGGTGATTCAGAAGAATTGTGCTCAGGAAGGCTGTGCTTAATGAGGATACTTGGGTGCTACGAGAAATGATAGAGTCTGGAATCTGAACAAGTGAAACAGCAGTGGGTTAATATTCCAAAGATACCAATAACATATAAAACCAATAACCACACCTAATTTTTTTTCATTCTTTACTGCTCAATTCTCATACATTTGGTGTCACTTACTCTTAGGTGAAAATGCATCCAACAATTTGGAATAGGATAGAAATCTTCAGATTCAAAATATTTTCCCTGACCAAGTAACATTTCACAAAGCTTCTTTGTATGAGAGGCTGTATAGCATTATGGTTAGCAGTAACCAGCCCTATGGAGCTTTGAGCTGGCTGAGTTGTGACACTTGCCAAGGATGGCTGGAAATGACACATGCTTCAGGAAGGAAGGGGCTCTACAGTGTGGAAGTTATGGTTAGGGAACTAGCACTGGCACAATTTCTGTGTATTCCATAGACCAGGGTTAGATAATAATGCTAGGAATGACACCCCCTCCCCAAAACCATTGAATTCAGCTTCACTATCCTCTGCTTTCTCCCAAGGGAAAGGATTTCTTTACCAAACACCATATCCTTAAGGTGAGCCCTCCAACCCCCAAAGTTCCTAAGACCATTAGGCTATGAGGGAGAAAAGTTCTTCCCTCTTGGGTGCTAGATTCTGGCTCAAACTGCTTTTATCTGTCTTCCCAATGTTGTACATGGGGTTGCCATGAGCTGGGGCCCACTAGAAGGTAGCTAACAACAGCAACGTTAACTACTACTATTACTTCTGGCCCTAATCTGTGGTAGAGTTAAGCATCTGTGTAATTTAAGCCACTCCTATCACTTCTTAAGATAATAAAATGTTAGAGCTGGAAGAAACTTAAGAGAATCCCTGACTGGACCAACTTATTTTGTACACAGATGCCATATTATAAGATTATGGGTGTTTGGGAAGGATGAGAGACTGCTCACTAAATCAGAATGCTGACTTCACCTCTTTGCTCCATTTCTCCTTTGCTACCCTGAGGAAATAAATAAGGCAATAAGATGAATACACAGTCTTTATTTTCTCTAAAAATTGAGGTAAAGGAAACTCTTTAGAAAAAGAAATTATCCACGTAACTGAAAACAGGAGGGTCCGGTTTCACAGCAGTGACTACCAGTTGCTCAGAGGAAGGAATCAAACTTGGCCAGGGATAGCCAAGATCTTCCTGAGCTGGTGCAGACTCTAGGGCTGCAACTAGTATTTCAAAGAAGCAAGCAAGTAGTCAAGAATTTGAGCCAATGTCCTTGGAAACACATAATGCTTATGCTCCTGTCGCCTCATCTGAGGATGCCAGCTGGAGTTTCTGGTGGTAGTGAGGGCGAAAACTGACCCAATTTCCCTTCAGCCACCCTCACGCCCAGCCTGGGGTCTGCCCAGTCCTCCTGCCCCTAGAAGGTAACCATTCTCCATGTCTTGGAGAATATTGCTGTGTAGGCGTGAGCGTCTCATGCCATGAGTAAGCCTCACAAGAGGGATGAGTGTGCAAAGGTTTCCAGAAGGGTTAGGAGGATCGGAGCAGGACCCGAATCACAGCAGCAGCCAGCCAGGAGGGCAGTCCTTCAGGGTTGACCTTCTCCTCGGTCCCTTTTCATGATGGTGTGGACTGGGCCTGATAAAGCTGTGGCTTCTCCACCAGCTACTCCCACCGGATTCCTAGAAGCTCACAGCTGACGTTCCATAGGTGCTCAGCTGTTTTGTTATTTCGGGCCCTTGGAGACACCCAAGTCCTCTTGCAGTCACTGAAGGGCAGAGAAAGATTGTGAACATGCAGAAGTGGAGACTGGGGTAGAGTGAGCAGTCCCCAGCCCCAATGGACCAAAGACCCAGAAACTGCATCAAGTCCTTCCTCATCCTGTCCTATGTGGCTCATCCTCTTGGATCCTTGATAAAAGGAGCAAACCCTTACATCACTTTATTCCAGGGGCTCTTAACCTGTCCTTGTGCCCCAGATCCCTTAGGTGGTCTGGAAAAGTTTACAGACTCTTTCTCAGAATATATTTCTAAATGCATAAAATATAATACATTGGATTAAAAGAAGCCAGTTGTATTCAAATGCAGTTTAAAAATATTTTTAAAACAAATTTGTGACACAGTAATACATATGCTTCTTTATTAATATATTCTATAACAAGATGTAGCGTTGGGTTTATTAACTACCAAATTTCAAACCAGCAGTGAGCAGAAACGACATTGTGAAATACCTGCAACAACTATAATACCTGCTCCTGAAAATTTAGTAAAACCTGCAAAAGCTGGAACCTGTGTAAGATGGAAACCTGTCAGAGAAATATCTTCCACCAATAGAGAGCAATAGAAAACTGGTAAGACTGTACCCTGTCAAAGGTGGAAAACTTGCAAGACCCACAAAAACAAGGCAGTCCCATAGACCTTCAGCTCTCACAGGTTTCACTGTATTTATTTTGTTGGTGACACAGTCACAGGGATCACTACTACTACTGGGTTTCATTGTCCACATTCATAATTGAAGGAAATGCTCATTTCAATTGGATATTGGTGAAATTATTTTCCCATTCAAGTTCACAGATCCTTTGAAATCTATCCACTAACCCTCTAGGGCCTCATGAACTCCATGTTAAGAACTCCTCTTTCATTTGTTTTGGGGGAAATGGGGGGCATGGGGACTAGAAGGATGCATGGGGTAAGGGCAGAACCCAGTTGTTTTAAATAGCATTTAATTATAAAAGTCCTTGCAGAAACAAATATGGGTGATGGTTGAGCAACATGATTAATTTAATTGATATCACTAAATTGTACACCTGAAAAATGTTGAATTGGCAAATATTGTTATACATATATTTTTTATAACAATTAAAAAAAAAAAGGTCCTGTGCAACACTTGGAAAATATAGTGAAGTACTGATAAAAGAAGAAAAGTCTATTATTTAATTGCTTTTCCTCATAGCCTTGTTTGCTTGATTCATGTATAAATATATATATAGTCTTTCTTTCTCTCCTTCTTTTATACAAAGCTAGGATCAGACTTATTTAGTTTGGGAAAGATTTTCTTTCTCTTGTTAAAAATGCTTTTTGTTATATAATAAATAAATATAGATCTTTTAAACATTTTTAAATAGTAAACAAATACCTAGAGTAAAAATTTTAAATCCTCCTTCACTGACTCTCTTTCAGTGTCTATGGAAGTAATCACTATTTACAATTTTCTGTGTATCCTTTTGGATTGTTTTCCATGCATTTCCAATGTATAATTGTAAAGTTTTGTATTGCAGGGTTTTTTTTGTTTTGCAACATTATGTCACCAGCATCTTCCCATTAACTAAATGCTATTTGAAAATATATTGAATGACTATATAATATTTAAGGTGGTGAAATTAAGCACTCAGACTCTAGATCAGCACTATACCATAGAAATATGATGACAGCCACAAATGGGAGCAATTTTAAACTTTCTAGTAGCCACATTTTAAAAAATAAAAAGAAACAGGTGACGTTAATTTTAATAATATATTTTATTTAAACCAATATATCTAAATCACTTCAGCATGTAAGCAATATAAAAAATTGTTACAAGATATTTTACATTCTTTTTTTTATATTAAGTCTTTAAAATCCAGTGTGCATTTCACATGTATAGCGCCTCTCAATTTGATGTGTCACATGTGGCTAGTAGCAACTACATTGTACAGCTGAGCTCTGGAGTCAGGCTTCCTGGATTTAAATCCTAGGTCTACCACTTAAAAGCTATATGACCTTGAGCAAGTTACTTAATTATTCTGTGCCTCAGTTTTCTCATCTGTAAAATGGGGATAATAATATTACTTACCCCTTAGAGTTATGATGATTATATGAATTCATATATGTAAGATACTTATAAGAGTACCAAATACATTATAAGAGTTCAAGCAACATTAGCTATTATCATTTATCCATTCCCCTATTGCTGGGCACTTAGGTTATTTCCAATGTTTCACTTAATAAATGATACCTCAATGAACAACCTTGAACAAAGTGGGGTCAAGTCATAGAATAGAAAGGAGGTTTAATCCTGGGCTCCCCTCTTTTCCCAAACTCTGATTGCCCATTGAGTTTACAATAAGATTCAACACTGAAATTTCTATTTGTATATTCTAATGGTTAGTGCCGATCTTGGCAACACTGAGGGTAAGAGTTCACAATGAGGAGAAGTGACCTTGCCCTAGTGCTTTGTGCTAAGTGGTGCTAAAAAATTCATGGAAGAAGTTAGCCAAAAGCTTCAAGGAGGAGAAGAAGAATCCAGAGGGCCTGGTAATGATCTTTCCATGGCATAATCAACAGGGACAGTCTTCTCTAACAGTTCACAGAAAGCCACAAAGTTTACATGAAAGCATGGCAAGCAGGTATAAAATACTCATTGCCGTCAAGTCATTTCTGACTCATAACGGTCCTATAGGACAGAGTAAAACTGCCCCATAGAGCTTCCAAAGAGTGGCTGGTGGATTTGAACTGTAGACTTTTTGGGTAGCAGCGGAACGCTTAACCACTGAACCACCAGGGCTCCGCAGGTATAAAACAGAGTCATAAAAACAACTCTTTCCAAGTTTCTAATGTAAGTTTCCTTGGAAAAGTGACAACGTTTGGTTTTTAGGTACACTCCAAACCTGTATTCTACTATTAGGCACAAACTCAGCCACTAGGGGTGCAAAGCCCAGAAGCCCCCTGCCTCACCACGCACAGAGACAGTGGAAACGAACCGTGCTGCTTCCCACGCACCTGAAGTACTTGCCACTCAGGGGCTCCAGATCCTCAGCCAGGGCACAGTGCAGGCTGGTCTGCGCCCCTTCCCACGCTGACTTGAGGAATGGGGAGAAGAGCCTCCAGAGCAGGCACAGGAGGAAGGAGTGCCGGACCAGCTCCGAGCGGACAATGCCCGGGTGCACGGCGTAAGCCGTGACCCCAGTGCCTAGGGCGAAGAGGGCACAGTTAGACCAGGGACATACTCCAAGCCCAGGAACACAACCCATCCCCTGCAACTCAATGGACAAGTGAGAAGAAGGGACAAAGGAAATGGCCAGTGCTCCCAGGGTTCAGAAGGAACCACTCCCAGCCATGCAGACTCACACCACTAACTGATCCCTTCCAGCAAAATCTATAGCCTTCTCAGCCCTCTATGCTCCAAACTCTCTCAACCTTCTATGCTCCTTCTATGCCTGGTTCAATGTCACCTTTACACAGTGGCTTAAGTATCAATAATAAAGACAGTAACATGTAGTAGTAGTTATTATCAATTACCAACAGTGGTATCTTTAAAATTTATACAGGAGGGGCTTAGGGGTAGCAATCTGTTTGGAAGGTAGGAGGCTAGGACCTTGTTTTGAACTACATTTGCCTGGCAAGCACATTTTATGAGGTATAGATTGAGGGGTGCTGAAGGAGATTAATAAGGGTTATATGCCTTCGAAAGACACTCCTGGTTCCACCACTATTTTCAGTACTTAGTTGCTTTATATGCATTAAGTCATTTAATCCTCAAAGAGGTTTGTGAGGCAGGTAATGTTAAGATGCCTATTATACTGCTAAGGAAACTGAGTCACACAGAGGTTAAATAAATTGGCCAAAGTCATACCTTGTAAGCTGCAAGGCCAAGGTCTGAACCCAAGGTAGAGTAAGGAATATGGATGTTGGAGCTAGACTGTCAGATCTGAATCCTGGCTCAGCCAGTCCTCTTGCTTGGGCAAGTTTCTTACCATCTCTGTGCCTGTCTCTTCATTTGTAGATTGGGGAAAATCATAACACCACCCTCAGGAATGTTATGAGTATTAAGTGAGCTAAAACATGTATAGTGCATGGCACACACACAATCCTCAATTACTATTACTGTTATTAATTTTTATGATTATCCTGTTCTTCTACCTTCAGCATTCTGATAGGAAAGACCATTGTTCCCAAACTCTGGTTTATTCACTGTACAAATGGGTCCCCAGAGTCACAGATGTCAGAGTCAGCAACTCAACTAAAACTCCAGGGGAGCACAGTGTCATAGGATTAGGAGCTGAGCTCATGTCATTTTACAGCAGAGGAGATGAAGTTAGGGGAGGGTAAAGGAACATGTCCACATATACATGTGGCTAACATGTGGTACAGCTAGGACCCAGGCTTCTGACATGCAGCCCCAGCTCCCTGACTCCAGGCCACAGCAGCTCTGTGGTTCAGCTCACCATGTAACCTTCAGCAAATGGCAAGCGAAAGAAATCACCCTGGATTTAAAGACACCCACATTCCAGTCCTGACTCCTTCACTTACCATATAACCTTGGGCCAGCCACTTCTTTGGGCCTCAGTTCTGCCCTACAAATTAGGAATATTAATACCTGCTCTACCTGTTGCAAAGAGTTGTTGTGAAAATCAAATGAAATGATAGATATGAAATAAGATATAAGATGTAAGATAACTTTATAAAGTTCCTTACCCATATTCAATTTTAAGCTTCCTGAGGGCAAGAACTCTGTTTTCATTCCATTTATAATCTCATTCTCCTTCATGCAGTTACCAATGGAAATGTGCATGTTTGACAGCCTGACTTCAGAAGTTTCTGGGAACCTCTAATCTGGACTGAGAACCTGTTTTTGCTATCTTAACCCCAAACGTTACTCTTTACTTACCTTGGAGCTTCTTGGCCAGCTCGCGAGTAAAAAGCACATTGGCCAGTTTACTGTGGCAATAGGCAAAACCCCGGCTGTAGCGCTTCTCACCCTGGAGGTCATGGAAGCGAATCTTGCCAGCATAGTGGACCATCGATGACAGGGTCACCACCCGTGCAGGAGCAGACTCCTTCAGCCGCTCCAGAAGCAGATGGGTGAGAAGGAAGTGGCCTGTGAGGAGAGCCAGCAGGAGAGACTGAAGGGTGGAGTGGCAGCCAAGGCTCAGGGTGTAGAAGCTGATGACAGGACTTAAGCGTTAGCTTAGTATCTTCTGAGTGTGAACAAATTTGAAGCTATGTGTAACTCCATGCTAATGGTTAGTCAGTGTGAATTAGTGGATTCCTCAAGTTCAAAGGCCAGAGCTAGACTATAGTAAGACAATATAGACTTAATCTGTACTTATCTGTACCTCTGCCCTTGTCCCAGTCAGGAGTCATGCACACCTGCTAGCTTCTGACTCCCCGTCTGGCCATGATCACACAGCTGCGGGCACAGGTACACTCATGTATATATGGAAGGATGAAACAGTCAAGGGAAAACAACATTTGCCTAGGATCAGAGACCATGCTCCATGCTCGCCTCACTAGAGCCATCACCTTGATCTCTGATCCCTAGCCTGTCTATTTTCTCAAGTCTTTCCCATCTCCTCAAGGTTTGCCTGTCTCCATGGACCAACACTAGGCTTGACTGGCCCTCAGCTATGGATGTGGCCCCTCCACCCAAACCCAGACTCCTGCACCTTCCAGGCTTGGTCCTACCTACCAAGTCTTGCATTGCCACTGCCTCATCCAAGCATGACATTCTTCTCCCAGGTATCTCTTGAGATTTTGGGTTTCTTAATGGTATGAGTAGGAGGATCTCACTTTTGTGGACTGGTCAGCAGAGGGACAGTGAATAACAAACCAATACATCTAGTCTATTGGAATCCTGGGCTCTATGAGGACCACTGGGGATTCTGAGCACTAGTATAGGTTCATCTCCCTACAGAGAACAAGGTGGGGTATGGATTTGCTTTTCAATCAGTCAGTGATATTTACCCAGGTGGTTGACTCCCAGGTGGGTCTCAAAGCCATCAACTGTCTTGGAATATGGACACATCATCACCCCTGCATTATTTATCAGGATATGGAGTTGCTTTTCCTCTGTAAAACACAACCAAGGAGATCTGGTGGTTATCAAGGAATCTGTTAGCAAGGAAACCTGTCACAGCCCTGAGTGTTTTTCTCTTGTTTTTGCTCTTGAGCTATCCTCAGTGGAACAAGGTTTTGATAGAAATTGCTCCCTCCACTTCTGTCTTCTAAGACAAGGTATTGCTTCAACTGTTAAAACCTATCGCCATTTGGACCCATCTCAGTGAATCTCAATAGCCATTGTCCCTCGGGAATAAACCTAGGCTGGGTTTCTCATTTTAGTTACTTATATCTTCCTGGACACCATTCATTCATTTGTTCATTCAGCAAATGTGTACTGAGTACCAACTCTGGGCCAGGCCCACTCTGGCGAGCACTGGGAATGCAGTCATAATACAAGACAGAGATGGTCCCTGTCTTCCATGGATTTCATAGTTCTGGGTAGAAGCTGGTCGTTTTGCAAGACCCAGAAGAATTATGGCAGCAGCACAACCTCATTTGTTGCCTGTGGCCACAGAAGGTTGATTCTCAGAATAAAAGAAGAAAGTGGCATGAGGGCCACAACTTGATGCCAAGGTGCAAGCCCAGACAGGAGCCAACATCTCCAACATTCCCACTGTTGAGTCAAATGTGAGATAAGGATCCTGCCCAGCTTGTCCATCATCTATCCCTCTGCCAAGTCCCTGTCCTACTGATTCATGTGGCAGAACCTGTCCAGTAGGGTTGACGATAGTTCTGAAGTAAGGGCCATAGATTGTCCAGGGTGGAGCAGCCACTCCCACATCCAGCGTCCTGCGTTTCTAGCTACCCAGCAGGCCCTTACCTGCCAGAAAGCCCTCAGCAAAGGCTCGGATGGATTTGGTGTCTGACAGGTCCAGTTTCCGAACCAACACCTGGGAGTTCTTTGTATCTGCTCGGATTTCACTGGCGGCAGACTCCCCCTTTAGTACATCCCGGCAGGCAATGTAGACTCGGGCTCCTGGGGCCAAAACAAAGAGAGATCCTAGGCTGAAAAAGAGGTCTGTATTAAGTGAGCTTGGGGACTGGTGGACAGAGCATTTTCCCAGCCTTCCCTAAAGCAGTGAACGGTCTTAGTGCCACTTCAGGATTCTCACAAATAGTACTGTCCAGTCTTATTTCTGTCAGCTTAGCCTCAGGCTGGGAACCCTCATTTTTACATTCTGCCAAAAGACTGAAACCAAAACCAAACCCATTGCCATCAAGACGATTCCAAAGATAGTACTATTTAATGTTGCTTAGTATCACCTTTTAGAATAACTGACTTGACCAATATTGCACATGGACATCATTGTTTTCCTTACTTTATATAAGAGGGAAGAAGTGGGAAGGAAGAAAGATTTATTTAAGGTTACACAGTAAATTGGTGTCACGGCTGGACTTGAATCCCAGGTTCTTTGAACTCCAGGTCAGAGCATCCAAGCCCAGGAGGAAAGGCAAGGAAATGGGGTACAGAGCCACCAAGAAGAAGGGCAGGAGGCACTGCCTGTGGGGACTGACTTGGGAGGACTTGCCTCTGCGAGCGAGCTCTCTGGCTGTCTCCTTGCCAATGCCTGTATTGGCGCCGGTGATCACCACCACTTTCCCAGGAAGCTGCACATTTGTTCTACATACCCCACCAGCAAAGAACTTCCTATGGACAAGAGAAAAAAGAGCATTCATGCACCATCCTTACCAATCCCAGACTGAAATACATAAAATCTATCCAACTTCAAAGAGACATTTCTCTAATTTGTAGTCAGGAGACCCAAAGAAGCTAATCTTCAGGAAACAATGTTCTTCCACTGGGGCAAGGTAGTCTCCTGCTCATCAGCACAGGTGGGAAGCTCATGTGCCCAGAAGCTACAAATGATCATTTGGGCAAACAAGGTAAGTGCTCCTGAGCCAGGACCAATGGGGACCTTCCTTGTTAGATAGCAAAGATATCTAGCTCTTATCTCTAGAGGTTCCTGAGGTCATCTTCTCCCCTAATCTACCTTCAAATCATATGCACGATGAACATTAGTGGAATCAGTGGTCCTGAGTCCTAGGTCTTCGATAAGCATCATCAGTTACTCACTGCCCAGGGACCACAGCAGCACTGCCCAGGGACCCCATTTAGAACACCACTTTGGGGCTGCCTCTCCAGTTTTAGAGAGCTGGCATCTTCAGAGGCTTTCTGCCATCATACTAGAACCTCCAGACCTCTCTGCAGAGCACCCTTTTTACATAGGGCTTACTTGACAAGTTCCAAAAAAGAGGACTGGATGGGGGCAGAACTAACATGTCCCACTTCCAGGAACTAGACTAGGCACTTTACATAGGTCAGCTATTTTAATCCTCTCTACCACCCCATTAGTATCCCCACACTACAGTGGAGAAAAGTGAGGCTTGAAGAAGTTCATGTCACTTGCTAATGGTGGCAGAACCAGAATTTGCACTTGAGTTTCTATGCCAGGACCTAGAGTAGCATTCTGTCCTTGATATGTTCATTTAACCTTTGTTATTATTAGCAGTTTTTCAATTCTTCGCTCAGAACATATTCTCTTTGACATCTCCAGAAGTGCTGCAGCAAAAGCGCCATCCCAAAACATTAACTGAGGGTAGTCTCAAGGGGGAGAGAGTTTGTTTCCTTCCCAAAGTGCCTGGTGCTTAACAATAAGTCTCTTGGCAATGACCACCCATGATAACCTGACAGGGCCACCCTGATTAGGGACAGAGAAGAAAGGAAGATCTTCAGACAAACCCAGGGGAATAGGGTGAAAGAACAAGGATTCCCACCCAAGGTGTCTGGTGAGCTACTTAATAAAGTCATCCATTCAACCTCTCACTGGCATCAGAATTCAGACCAGCCCCTCCTCCCCCAACCCCAACTGCCTCCTTCTCAGTTTTCCACCTAGGTATCCATAACCACTGCCCTCCTTCCTGCTTCTTCTGCCCTGACTTTCTCTCTCTCCCTCCGCCTCTATCCTTATCTCTTCTTCCGGCAGCTGGGAGCTGGCTCCCAATTCAGGGCTATATAAAATACTTTATGAGATGCTGAATTAAGACAAACCTGATGGTTGGAGCTGTCACATACAGGAAAGAAAGCAAGGAAGTGAGCAGTCCCAAGATAACTAGCATCTTCTCAACTTCTTTAGTTGCTGCTGCTTTTGCTGCTGCTTCAGCTCCGACTTCAACTCTGGCTCAGGCTCCAGCTCTTAATCTGGCTCCAACTCTTAGCCGCTTCTTGCTCCTCTCACTCCTGAATACTCAGCAACAGCCTGGCTCTAAGCACAGCCCAGAATCCTATTTAAATCCGAGAGCTGTCAGAGCACAGCCTGCTGGGAGATGTAGTCTACCCGCAAGCATTACCCCACCCAGGAGCCAATGGAGGAAAGGTTAGAACCTTGCACTTACTGGCAAAGAAAATGTGGGGAAATTGAAGCAACTGTCCCCTAACACTCGCACCCTCACTTATTTCTCTTATCTAGGGAATGTATTCTCCCAAACACCCCACCTCTACTCCTGCAAGACAGAATTTTTTTTAAATTTTTTTTATTGCACTTCAGGTGAAGTTTACAGAACAATTAGTTTCTCATTAAGCAGTCAGTACACATACTGTTTTATGACATTGGTTAACAACCCATTGCATGTCAACACTCTCCCTTCTTGGCCTTGGAGGACCTTTTTGGTTTTTTTTGGTGAAAATATACATAGCCAAAGATACACCATTTCAGAAATTTCTACATGTACAATTCAGTGACATCGATTACATTCTTCCAGTTGTCCTGCTATTCTCATTATCCTTTTCCAAATTATTCCATCACCATTATCTTCAACTCACTGGCCCCTAGGCTTCCCATTAAACCTTTTGAGTTGCTATTGTTAATTTGATCTCACATAGATAATTCCTTTTTTTTTTGTACCTCAGATAAAGGTTTACAGAACAAATAGTTTCTCATTAAGCAGTTAGTACACATATTGCCTTACGACAATGGTTAACAACCCCATGACATGTCAACACTGTCCCTTCTCAACCTTGGGCTCCCTGTCACCAGCTTTCTTGTCCCCTCCTGCCTTCTAGTCTTTGTCCTGTACTGCTGTGCCTCATTAGTCCCGTTTTGCTTTATGGGGCTGTCCAATCCCCAGCTGAACGGTGAACCTTGGGAGTGACTTCACCTCTGAACTAAAAGGGTGTCCAGGGGCCATACTCTTGGGGTTTCTCCAGTCTGTCAGGCCAGTAAATCTGGTCTTTTTTTGTGAGTTAGAATTTTGTTCTACATCCTTCTCCAGCTCTGTCCAGAACCCTCTGTTGTGATCCCGGTCAGAGCAGTGAGTGGTGGTAGCCGGGCACCATCGAGCTGTACTGGACTCATTCTGGTGGAGGCCGTAGTAGCTGAGGTCCATTAGTCTTTTGGACTAATCTTTCCCTGTGTCCTGTTCTCTTTGTTCTCCCTTGCTCCCGAAGGGGTGAGACCAGTGGAGTATCTTAGATGGCTGCTCACAGGCTTTTAAGACCCCAGACGCTACTCACCAAGATGGAATGTAGAACCTTGTCTTTATAAACTGTGTTATGCCAATTGAGCTAGATGTTCCCCGAGACCATGGTCCCCACAGCCCTCTTCCCAGCAATTCAGTCCTTCAGGGAGTTTGAATGTGTCTATGGAGCTTCCATGACCTTTCCTTGTACAATTTGTGCTGGCTTCCCCAGTACTGTGTACTAAGACAGAATATTTTTTACTTTAGCAATGATTCTGTGATATTTGAAATACAAGTGTGATTAAAATAGAAGGATGAGGAAGACACTTCCAGAAGAATGGTGAGAGAAGTCAGAAGAGTGGTTACCCTTGGTGGGTAGGAAGAGGGCATGACAGGAACTGGGGAGGGTGGGGGCTGGTTGAGTTCTGTTCCTTTGAGCTGGGTGTTGGTTACACAGGTGCACTCACTTTGTGAAAATTCGTTGTGCTGTACTCTTACAATTTGTGCTCTTTTCTGTGTTTCATGCTAGACTTCAATAAAGTTAGCACACACATGCACATGCCAAGAAAAAGGTATTGTGGTTAAGTGTATGGACTCTAGAGCTAGACTTCCTGGTTCAAATCCCAGCTCATCTATTTACAAGTTCCATGGTTCTGGGCAGGTTACTAAACCTCTCTGTTAACTCAGTTTCTTCGCTTGTACAATGAGCATGATAAATATATACCCACTGTCATGGATTGAATTGTGTCCCCAAAAAATACCTGTCAACTTGGCTGGGTCAGGATTCCCAGTATTGTATGACTGTGTACCATTTTTTAATCTGATGTGATTTCCCTATGTGTTGTAAACTCTATCATTATGATGTAATAAGATGGATTAGCGGCAGTTATACTGATGAAGTCTACAAGATTAGATAGTGTCTTAAGCCTGTCTCTTTCGATATATAAAAGAGAGGAGGGAGCAGAGACACATGGGAACCTCATACCACCAAGAAAGCAGTGCTGGGAGCAGAGTGCATCCTTTGGACCTGAGGTTCCTGCACTGAGATGCTCCCAGACTAAGGGAAGACTGATGGACTGATGCACCATAAGGACCTTTCTACAGAGCCGACAGAGAGAGAAAGGCTTCCCCTGGAGCTGACGTCCTGAATTTGGACTTTTAGCCTACTTTACTGTGAGGAAATAAATTTCTCTTTGTTAAAGCCATCCACTTGTGGTATTTCTGTTAGAGCAGCACTAGATGACTAAGACACTCACCTTAGAAACTAGTGCATAGTAAACACTGTATGAGAGTTGGCCATTGTGATCAGCTGTACTGATTCCCATCTGTCTCCCTTGCTATCCCACCTGCTTTACTGAAGGGTTTGGTGTGGAAAATGGAGAGGTCTAAGAGAGGGTGACATTCCAACTGAATGCTGTTAGAGATGAGGCAAAACACATAAGAAAAGCTAACAGACACGTTCAGAGCACTTTGCAGGTGTGTGAGGGTGTGGGAGGAGGAGTGGGTGGGGTCACTGCCCTTGCTCACTCAGTGTTCCTTTCCTGGAAAGGAGGCAGGGGTGAATTATCCAATAAGCAAGGTAAGCATGGTCTTACTTGTTGCTTACTTACTAATCTGTAGTGAACAATTACACATGGGTATCACCACACCACATCAGAGTAAGACCATGCTTACCTTGCTTATTGGATAATCTGCCCCTGACAGGAAGACAGATAAGGAGCTGGGGCTGGATCCCAGGATCCATGCACCACTTCTGCCCCTTCCTAGAGGAGACTCTAGGAATATGGGTATGAAGAGAAATACTCCTATGGCAGATAGGCATTCACTCCCTCATTCATTTATTCTTCCATCCATTTACTGACTGCTTCTTGGTGCCAGGCAAGTACTACCCGTACTACCTGTACTCATTGCCATCAAGTCAATTCTGACTCACAGCAACTCTATAGGACAGAGTAGAACTGCCCCATGGGGTTTCCAAGGAGTGGCTGGTGGATATGAACTGCTGACCTTTTGGTTTGCAGACATAGCTGTTAACCACTGTGCCAGCAGGGCTCCAGGCAAGTACTAGGAAGATACAATTCTTGCCCCATAGAAGCCTGTGGACCTGTTGAACAGAGCAAGAGGTGATCAGACAATTCCAGGGCAATCTCTCTTGCCTCACATGTTGCCTCTCCCGTTTCTTTATGTTTCTCCTGCTCTGGCTCCAGTTGCCTGCAGTGATGTGGGCTGCAGAGACCTCAAAGTCCCAGGAGCCCCTGAGGAGGGCGTGTTGCTGGCACTCCCCAGCATCTGCCTCCTAGAAGTTAATGTTCACTGGGCCAACACAACCTGCTGATTGGTCAGAGTCCTTTACCCCCACACCTGTTGACTCTGGGTCTGCAATGACTCACAGATTATGAGTGAAAACAAGATCTTTTGATGTTTTATGCTCAGAGTCCCATGTAACCCCATGTAACCCAAGTTGAAGTCAAGCAGAGGGCAGACACGATGCCATAATATGCAAGAGATAGTACACCTAATATCCCCAAATCTAAGTATCTTTGTATTAATGTCTTCTGGGCTCCCCTTTGCTACTGAATCTAATCCAAGATCTCCCACATTTATGGACGTGGCATTCAATTTATCTTGAGTTTGCCTAGGAGGCATGAGAGCCCTAAAGAACAGCACATAGTCCTCCAGACAAAACATAGCAAAGATATTACAAGGAATATAAGGTATCTAGCATTGTGGAAGAGGGCAGTGGTGGTTCAGTGGTAGAATTGTCACCTATGGATCACAACAGTTTGATCTCATTGTGCATGGGGTTACCGTGAGTCAGGGACAACTCTGTGGCAGCTAACAACAAAGCATTCTGGAAGTACACAAATAGTTCGCTAAAACTGATGTTAAATATTATAAGCCAAAGACCACTATTAGGTAATTGATTAGTCCTACTAAATGTTAAACTGTATTACAAAGTTATAATAATTTAAACCTTGTGGTATGGGCCGGTGAATAGCCAAGAAAATCAATAGAGCAGCATAGAGGGTGAAGAGATAGATATATGACTTCATCTAAAGCACACACAAAAAAATTAAACTTTAGAAAAATTAAGGTTAAAATAAAAAAAAGAAATAGACATATGGCAATTTAGCTATGATAAAAATGGCCTTTTCAAATCGGAGGAACGGGGGTAGATTATGCAAGTATTTTAACACCAAAGTATCCAATTGAGAAAAAGTAAACTTTATCCTTACTTTACTCTTTATACCAAAATTCCAGATAGATAAAAAATATAAATATGAAAAATGAATCCATAAAAATATTAAGAAGAACCATTGGAGAAATTTTAAAACAATTTTAGAATGGTAAGACCAGAAACCCAGAAATCAATAAAGAAAAGACCGACAAAAAGAATCTCCATGACAAAAACCACCATACACAAGGCAAGACGGATAAGAAACTGGGGGAAAATATTCACAACACATATCACAGACAAGATAATTTATTTCTTATATAAAGATTTCTTACAAATCAATAAGAAAAAGAACAACAGTCCAATTGAAATAACAGTTTACAGGAAAGGAAATACAAGAGGTTCTTCAACCTCACTCATAAGAGAGATGTAAATTAAAGTTACACTGGAAGCCACTTTTCATTTATCAAGATTAGCAAAGATCAAAAAGATTATAACATGGCCCATTGGCAAGGGTATGGAGAAACAGACACAGATGCAGGACTAATGGGAGGGTAGATTATTTCAGCTAACAACAACACAATCTGTTTGGGGGTTGGGCATAAATCCAATGACCTCATTCTTCTGCCTAAAACCTTCAATTGACTTGATTT